AATTATAGAAGTTTTATTTTATGCCTATCGCTGCGTAGCTTTTCTGAGAGCATCCGAGCAAAGAAATGAATGGAAAATCATGATCGCCGATGTCTGTCGCAGATCTGGCACTGGATGATGATGATATCGTTACCAAGACAAGGGAAATCGAGTGCAACCAATGGACAACTTATTCTAATAAATTTAGATATAAACGTTTCATTGTACGCTTGTCTTATCCCAAAGAAGAAAAAGCGAGAGCGCAGCCGATGCATCGCTTTGAAATGTTTTGCTCCAAAACTGACGTGTCTCGATTCTCATTGCTTTTACCTGAACAGGATTTTCCCCTTTTTTCTGTTCTTTGCTTGGTTGATTGGATAAAGGTTGAGGTTAGCATTTTACAATAGCCGTATCTTTTTTTACTTTATTTGTTTTAAAAAAATTTTTTTTTTTTTTTGCTTTTTAAAAAATCGACGTATCATGGTTGATCACAGACAAAATGAAAAAAATAATACTTACACTCACAATCATACAGAGAGAGAGGGGAGAGAGAGAGAGGGGGGAGAGAGAGGGGGGGGAGAGAGAAAGAGAAAGAGAAAGAGAGAGAGAGAGGTGGATGTATCCATACATGATTATGCATACATATCATAATAAGGACAAAACGGTTTCCGTAAAACATGACTCACAAAACTATCAGTAATCTCTCTCTCTCTCCCTATCTCTCCCTATCTCTCTCTCTCTCTCTCTCTCTCTCTCTCTCTCTCTCTCTCTCTCTCTCTCTCTCACTCTTTCTCTCTCTCTCTCTTTCTCCCTCTCCCTTCTTCTCTCTCTCTGTCAGTGTGTCTCTCCCTCTGTCTCTCTCTGTCTCTGTGTGTATGTTTGGTCATAAAATTCTTTTTGCTTCACAATAGAAAAAAAAACGGTATATGCCGACAAAGAATAAAACGATTAATGATAGTAAAGAAAACACCGATGATAACGACGATAATGATGACGATGGAAATGATCTGATGAAGGGGTAGATTTATCAGCCATCTCAAAGTGCGCTCACTACGACTGCATTTGACAATCTGGTATAGTGCTGAAATGGTATAGGTTTAACGCCTCTATCAACACTATTAGGTTATTTAAGAGACGTTACACCTCCGAGTTTAACGTCCATCTCCGAAAGGACCGAGCCAAATATGTGGTATTCGTATGAAGTGCCTTTCACAGGGACACAACGTCAGACCGAGCTGAGGCTCGAACCCCCGAACCTGCAATCTCATGATTACGTGTCCGGTAGCCGAACCACTTAGGCTACCGACATCACTCATTACCAGCTAAATCGAGAACGTTTTGTCCTTGTGGTGCAACTCACCTTACAATTCAGTATTTGATGTATTGATTGTGTAGCATCATGGTGAAATACGACACTCCTCAAAATAATGAAAACAAGGAGACCGTTCTTTTTCCGTCCGCTTGACGATTTTTATCCATTTTTTAAAAGTTTTGTTTTGTGTGGGGTCTTCATTCTCAACAACTTTTATGTCCACTTTAAAACACATTTTTTACCGGAAAAAAAACCTTAATAAAAGACACAAGGAAAATGCGATTTTACTCTTTTAAAGGACACTCAATACTTGGAAGTCACCAAACTTTGGCGGCCATTTCCCCGCTAATTTTACCTCTGATACAAACGGGAGGTCGGAGGGTGCTACTAGTAGGTTAGGTCCTACTTCATTACCTTCCCTCTGTTGTTTCTGTCTGTCTGTTTCACCTTTTCCCAGCACGAAATGACCATTATTGTGTCCATGTGCTTTTTTGTACTCAAACAAACAAACAAAGATCTCTGACACCAGACAACCACGACCACCCGCTTCAATCGCAAATATCTCAATGTTTCTTCAAGAAGATAGCTATTTTGTCAGATTTTTCTTCATCAACACCAAGACACCAGAGTAAGCTTTAAGATAAAACCAATAACTGACGACACGGTGAATCAGGCGCTCGTCAATTATTGGGGCATATGGCGTTATTGATATCACCTTAAAGCTTGTTTATTTGTCTTGGGATTTGATTTTAGAATAAATCGTACACCTTGAATTGACTTAACATACTTGTGACTGAAGGGGTTAGGGTTTGCCTGGTGTCAGAGGGTGCGCTCGCATGACCTTAAGTAGTTGCGAGCGCCGTAAAACACTTACCAAAACAACAACAAAAAATGATATCCAAGGTAAAATAAACGAGAGAATGGCCGTCAAGGTTAGATTACTTTGAAAGCTTGAGTGTCTTTGGAAACTGCATATATACACTTTTTGTGTCTTTCATCAATGGTGTTTGGGTTTGTTTTCTTTCCAGTAAAATCCAGACGGAAAGCGAGTGGTAGGGGGTGGCTGCTGGTTTCTCCTACTTCTTTACTTTCCCTCTGTTATTTCTGTCTGTCTGTCTTACTTTTCGTCTACACGGAATAATAATTATTGTGCCCTTGAGCTTCTCTTTACCAAAACAAACTAGACAAAAATGCAAAAATGGACATGAAAGGTGACGAACCACACACACCTTTTCCAAAACAAAAACAAACAAAAAATTGATTAAAATTTCACAACGTCCGGGGGGGGGGGGGGGGGGGGGGGTGGGGGGAAATAGTTTCTTCGATTTCATTATATTGACGAGCGCCTGATTGCACCACGATGACACTCAAATATCCTTTTTGTAATGAATCACATCCACCATCATTTGTAAATTGCTGACCCACAGCAGACTTCAGGAAGCTGCATTTCCCGCAAATGGGGGGGGGGGGGGGGGACTCAAATAAATATTAAACATTTTCATGGACAGTACAGGACACTACTCTTTATGATGGATTTGTCTGTCTGCCTCCCCCCCCCCCCCCAACTCGTTCTTTAGTCTCTGAACATTTGTTACGTGCTCCGTTTTCAGAAAGAGTTGTGGTCTTTATCATCCTTTACGATTTTTTAAAATGTAGGGTGTTGTACGCCCTCATCGACGCAATTTAGATCATTTGGGTGATGAGGTTTCCCACCCTGCCTGTCACGGCCAACGCAGAGAGAGAGAGAGAGAGAGCTAGATACATGTACTCAATAAAAATGTTAATGTCTCTCCCCCACCAGGGAATCAAACTCGGATTCAACATCCTAGCAGAAAGACCAAAGTAGAGAAGAAAAATGTCTCCCCACTCGAGAATCGAACTTGGTTTTCCTGTGTGAGACAGCGAAACTCCGAACAGCTCCCTCACAGCTGTCTGTTCCCTCACTCTGTTTGATCAGACAATAGATCAGACAATAGATCAGACAATAGATCAGACAACAGATCAGGTCTTGGGCGGCCACACATTCCGAGGACAAAAGTGGCCTTAGACAGGTGGCTGTCTTAAGATGAGATAAGATATTGTCCAGGACAGAGAGACTAGGTACATGTATAATAAAATACTGTCGAATCTGTCAAGGACGGCCACCTATTTTCGAGGATAAAAGTGGCCTTAACAGGTGGCTGTCTTAATAAAAGATAAGATCAGATAAGATCATTATTGTCCAGATATTGACACATTGCACAATGTCAGTGACGTAAAAAAGCAATGCACAAAATACGAGAGTCTGATCGCGATTAAAGAAAAAGGAAAAGACGCTCGGGTGTGTTTGCCGTTGTTGGTTCAGCTTATACAACGTGGGGTTATTTATGATTATAATTTGTGGATTACGAATGAACACATTCTATTTGTATTCATTCTTTCCCTTTTCTTGTGTGTTTTGTAATGGTCTGTCCAACTGTCTGTCTGTCTGTCTGTCTCTCTGTGTGAGTCTCTCTCTGTCTCTTTCTCTCTTTGTCTCTCAATCTCTCTCTTTGCCTCTCTCTTTCTCTCTATCTATCTCACTCACTCTTTCTATCAATCTCTCTTTATCAATCTCTCACCCCCCCCCCCCCCCCC